TACAAACTTTCAGTACACAGTAATTCCACAGTCAGTACGTTTCTCGTCACTTTAAACTTAACAAGTTTTATAATACACGCTATAAATCACAGCTATTCACAATCTCGATAATTTTGCTCTCTACGAGTGCAAAACACACACTAGCTCGAAACAGAATCGTAAATTACCCGAAACTCACTGTGATTACCGTTCGCTTAACCATACCCTGGCTTTTCTCTGCCAGGCTTATATACTAACAAAGAAGCGTCTCTCGATCACACTCGAACTTCCCCGATAATTCGAGAAACTCAGTCACGCATGCGTTAACAGAGTCACGTGACTTCCGTTGTCGTAACAATATCTTAAGCTAGAAATTTGTCAACTTCTAGCGAACTTACTAAAGCTTCCAAACGTTTAAGAAAAGAGTTTGCCGCTGATTGATGACATGAAAGATAGAACGAGGTCACGAGATAACATATTAGCCTGTTCGAATATCTGTGTGTAACGAACATAATATCAGCATTCAACATGAGACTAAATAACTGACTACTTCAATGTGTTCCATACGATATATATTTTTTTTTACTAGGCGAGACATACTGTCACAATGTGAATTAGGAATAGGCCTAAATTTGGTACTTTCATCGTACTGTTCCTTTCGTACCAAGAACTTTTTGTATTCAGGTTGTCTGTTTACCTTGCTGTTTTTACTTTAAGAACTTAAGAAGAAAAAAAGGGAGGAATGTGTGTTCACTGTTTTATTCTTTAAACGATCCGATAATATGGATAGAGGGCTAGGCCTGAATCCTAACGTTCAAATTTACGTTATCAGTTAAAATCTAACACGATACAACTACTCAGTTACTACTACTAGGCCTATATGTCTAGTCTAATCTTAAACTCATCACACTAACACGCATTTTTACCACCGTTGTTTTTGCATTCGTTTAGCAATTTCTTACAGCCAATCATACCTTCAATCTTTCAAACGACTAATAGGATTACACTTTGCAATCGCACATTTTCAGGTTGTGAGGTTAAATATATAATAAGTGCAATTATTTCACTTGTGTGACGTAATAGCTGTAATTCCGCCCATTTACGCAAATTTTACTTGTCTCGTCTAGTAAAAAAAAATATGCGTGCTTGAACCCTGCCAAAATTTTTCGGACGTGTGTCGTTACCATAAGGGTAAGGATCTCAATGGTTAATTTCAATTTTTTTAGTATATTTTAAATAAAGAACATATATTAAACACTAATTATTTCAGACTAATATCAAAACCAATTTGAATACACATACACTTGTTACGTATTACAATTTCGAAAGGTCTGAAATCGAGTTAAATGATAATTTTAAATTTAGTAGTTAAATTGTACTTTAGATTTAGCAGTTAAGTAAAAGCCGATATATAGTCAGTTTATGATATTTGCCAACAAGGTTGACCCCCACAGTTTTCTTTTTTAACACAAAAATGTTTTAATATACAAACACCAAAACAATTTACCATCACAG